CCTCATGCTAGTATTTTTCACTCCTCTCATGGTTTGGTTATATTAGAGAGTGTGCTCCTTTCAGAGAGTGTGGTTCTATTAGAGCATTTACGGTATCTCGAAAAAGCAAAAATTCGCTTGGAACTAGAGTTGATCAAAACGATACTGGTATCGGCCAACCCGAGACCGAGATTGACCGATACTCAAGAACCTGATACCGAGATCGATACCGAGAAACGATACTGACCGATACTAACAGAAATTTTTATTTTACGTCAAAAAATACGTGTAAAAATAATTTAGTCATTATTTTCATCATCCAAATACAGATAAATACTCTTCATCATCTGGATCCGATCAGGCTTGGCAATGGATACATTTGTGTCCGTATCCGAATAAGGATGTATATCCGTGAGGTCGACATCCGTATCCGTACAAATTTTGAGGCATATCAAACCGCGGGTATCCGCGGATGGCCGAAATGAAAATTTCGGTTAACCAAACCATTGGATTTAGCGCCGCAGGCAAAAATTTTGAGAATTTATGTCCATCCCTGCTTTCGATCACTTTAAATCCCCTTAATCCACTGGTGGGAACAATAGTTGCCGAAAATCGGAAGGCTCTGTAATCAAAATCTTGAAAATCTAACGGCCGAGAGCCCGGAAAATTCAACATTTCAGCGCCGCAGACGAAAATTTTTGAATTTTAGAAGACCTTATTCGAAAAAAATTCACTTTCTCTGTTATGGACGGATACCCGAAAAAATTATGGACGAAAACTTGGACAATATTGAGGATTTTGCTTCTTTGAGTCAGTATCGTTTCTCGCCGAAAATGGACCGAGAATTTCAGCATCGGGTTCGAGAACGAGAATGAAAAAACCGAGACCGATATTGGAAAGATAACGGTCTCGGTAACGGTCTCGTCTTGATCAACTCTATTTTAAAATTCGTTTTGGCACAACCCTGATATTTACTATGTATGTAAAGATTTATGTTAATGAATAGTTTAATTAAATATTTCAAAAAATTATTGTGAAAAAAATTATGTGAAATTCAAAAATCTATTCTAACTCTATTTATTAATTCTTTTCAAAATTTACATCAAATAAATTTTTAAAACCAAAAATTGTATCAGATGCTCGAACACCTAAATATTTAAATTTAAAATTAGAATTATTAAAAAAATATCTTTTCATTAAAATATACGTTTATCTGATGTTGAACTGCCGAGCGATTTTTTATATTCACATTTATCTTGGATCAAACAATCAACAATAGACAAGCTTTAATTTTTATATACAGTGGCGGAAATTTAAATAGGGAAAAATGTTTAGAATTTTATTTCTAAAATTTATTCGTCTAATCATTTATCTCGGGTCTTAATTTTTATATAGTTTTGTAGCATTATTTATAAGCTATCAAATAACTAATAATAATTTTAAAAAAAGTTTCACTTAAGCGAAAAAACTCATTTATCTATGTTGTCCTATCAATAAAGTAGGATTAAGACATTAAAACACATTTTGCACGAGATCATGACCTCGAAGGGATTTTTTCAAAAAAATTTTTGAAAACTTATATGTATGTATTTTGCAAAAAATATTTTTTAAACTACAAATTTCTCAAAAATGCCAAGAAATGCCAAGAATATGCATCGATATGCAAATATGCACTAGATGCCTAAATATGCAAAAAATATGCATCAAGAACAGGGTCTAAGTGATCGAGCAAAATTAGAAACCCCTTTTTTGAGCTTATCTCAACATGGAATAGCCGCATAAAAAAATGCATTTGCATGTTTTTCACAGTCCTATTTAACGAAATAAAAAGTAAAACCCCCTACTCAAAACATCCACAAATACCAATTCCACATTCATTTTCCGTTAACGAACATTTAGAATACATTTCAGTACACAACGTTATTTCAGTAAAATTAGTTGGAAAATCCTCTTTTTTACACTTTACTCGAGATATTAATGATGTTAGACATTTAGAATATTCAGCTGTGCAGCTGAAATTTATTATTTTTAAAAAAGTTTGAGAAAGCATGAAAAATACAAAAAATTTGTTCTGAGATTTCAAAAATAAAATGTAAAACAAATATTTATTAATAAATTTGATAGATATAATCAGTAGGGACCGGATTTTTAGGTTATAACCTATTTTTTCTGCGAAATAGTTATGATGAATTGAGCTCAAATCCGTTGTTCTTTTTTGAATATCTTACATTTACGCGGACTTACTTATATTATGACCTATTCAAACCTATTTTGGGGTTTTGAAACCTAAAATAGGGTGTAACCTATTTTGAGGCTTTTGTGTTTTTTATCACCTATTTTGGTTGTTTTTCGTAAAAATTCAATTTTTTAACACAAATTTTCAATTTTTTTCGAAAAAATTTGCAATTTTTTAAAAATTTTGTCAATTTTTCTCATCATTCAAAATTTCTTTACAATTTTGGAAAAAAATATTTTTTCAAAATACAAAAAAATTTTCTTAAATAATATTTTCCCATGAAAATTTTAAAAATTGGGAATTTTTTACAATTTTATTATACTAATAAAATTTATTAACGGAAAATAGAAAATATTCAGCATTTTTGCATTTTTTGCCCCATATGTCGACCTTTTTTTGCAACCTATTTTTCATTTTTGTCACCTATTTTGAAATTTTTGTCACCTATTTTAGCATTTTTTACAACCTATTCAGGTACCTATTTTAGGGTTTTTACAACCTAAAAATCCGGTCCCTAATAATCAGAGATAATTAAAATCTCTAAATTAATAAATATAATATAATTAACATACACGCAGTCATCTTTTACATAATATCCAACCACAGTTTCGCATTGTTCAATTGTTGCTTTTTCACAATTTGTGAAATAACAAAAATTAATTAACAGAAATGAAAATAAAAGAAAATAATTCATTTAATTAATTATTTTTATTTTTAATTTAAAAAAATTTTTTTTTATTTAATGAACTTTTAAAACTAATTATTCTTTCTTATTTATATTAAAATTTAAAAATTTATTAATTAATCAAAATTTAAATTATTTTTTATCAAATTTATGTTTCGGTTTAAATAAAAAATTTTAAAATAAAGACAGGTTTTAAAAGTTCAAAATAATAAATTATTTTTGTTTATGAAATATGTAGTAGATAAATTGTTTTTAAATAATAAAATTAAAATACCGTATTTCCTATGTTAGAGCCCCACCCTCTGTTAGAGCCCCACCCTTTAATACAGCCCCACTTTGGAGGATAGTTGAAAAATAGAGCCCCATGGGGCTCTAATGTAGGAAATACGGTATACATTTGAAAATAAATGTTTAATTGTTTTTCTTTCAGTAAGGTGAAGTTTTTTTTAAAATACAGATTCAATAAAACAAAATTTAATTCTGATCACAGAAACTAAATTTAAATAAATCACAAAAAATTTTGTTTGTTAAAAGGAAATTTAAAAATATATAATTAACATTTTTAAATAAAAATCAAAAAATCTTAACAGATTTAGCAAAGCTGTAAATATTTTATGAAAATTTTCAAAAAACATTTAAAAATAATTCTTGAGTAAAAAAATTTTTGTTATTAAATATGCCTTTCAATTATTCAATTTTTTATAGAATTTCAGAGCAGAATGATAGAACAATCCAAATATAGATACCGTAAATGCCCTAATAGAAACACATGCGTTTGTATTTTTCGATCCTCTCTTAGGTTGTGGTTAGATAATGCTTCTTTCAGAAAGATTGGTACTATTAGAGCATTTGAGGTATTTCGAAAAAAACGAAAAGAAGGAGCTTTATGTAAATATTATAAGAGAAATTGAAATAGGTAATATTGAAAAAAATAAAAAAAATTTTGCAATCATAAGTTTGAATATAACTTCAAAAATATTTATTAAAATACGGGTGTTTAAGCCATAAAAGGAAAAAGTCTTCGTGTATTTTTATTTTTTAAATAATTAAAAAATAATTATTTTGGAATCATTATCGGATCAGAAACTTTCTTTTCAGAATCCTTCATTGCCTCCATCACAGCTTCCTTAACATTATTTGCAATAATATTTTCATTAAATTCAATAATAGCCAAATAAACAATATTTCCAACATTTTTCTCAAATTTTTCTTCCCAACTTTGTGAATTTTTTGAAGAATTTATCGAGTCTTTCAAAATTTTATCTTCTTCAATTTCCCCTCTTTCCAATTTTTTATTTTTTAAATGATCCAAAATTATTTTTCCTTTATCTTTGTGTATTTTGCCACAATCTTTTCCTTCCCAATATCACAAAGATAAGCACTTACCCAATGAATTAAAGGAATTGACAAATTTTGGAAATCTAAAGAGTTCCAATTCCACGCCTTTTCGGCGTGTAATTTCAACTTTTTAATAATAAAATCAAATAATTCTTTGTTGTTTGAATAAGAATGAAATTCAAAATCTTGCGGTCCATGTACTTTATTAAAAAGATTGGGTAACCAATAGAGTGAATCTGTTTGGATTTGGAAAGGACCTAGAAAAATATTGAATTTAAATTGAATTAAATTAATATATTAGTTCAATTTATATTTTATAGATAGATAGATAGTTTTTGGCTTAGTCGATTCTTTGTTTCCTAATACAATAAGCTCGAATATTATATCAGATTGAGCATATATAGAGGGTACAACACATACAACCTAAAACCCTGAATGCTAAACAATTTTGATTGTCACAATATCGCATTAAGGATATGGTTGGATTCATAGGGGATATCTGTAGATTTGAGGGTATATCTGTTGATTGATACTTAATGTAAATAAAATTTATATGTATTGCTAGGCCATGGATTGCTTGCTTAAGAAAAGAACGTTAATAGTAAAATTAGCCCTATCACAGGGTGTGAGTTAACTGAACCTTTTCCACAATTATTATATCCCCACAAAAAACCAACTTCCAAAATACAAACGGTTTCAATATATAATTGTCGGTTTTCGGGAGATCATTGTGTATAAATCAAAGGACTACACAACCACAAATCACTTTTCTATATTTCCAGCTTCCCTACCTTCATATTTTTCTTTGCCTTCGTAGTCCTTCTCAAAATTTAGGGAAGATGTCGTTTCTGTCGTTGGCCTAAATTTTCCTTTCCATCCCAATTCGTTTTGTATTGTTGTTACAAAATCACGCATAAACGTTACCTCTTCAGAAGAGTATGATAAAAGAGAGGGGTCATAGTAGCCAGGTATTGGTGCGAAATATGTAGTCAAAAGGTCCTGATTTAATACCAATTGAAAAAATTGGAAAAGAAGGCCGAACAATAAAGCGTCTGTCTGAACATAAATAAAATAAGTATACTAATCCCGATTTTCTCGGGATATTAGTAAAGAAAACGTGACTTTATTGTAACGCTTTTTGTGGACTTATCCCTACATATTTCCCTTTGATTTTTAATCAGTTGGATTCTCTATGGATTCTTGGATTCTTGAATCAGTTGGATTCTTGGATTTTAGTATGTAGTGATATTCGGGAGAAGAAAAAGCTCAGGAATCGGGAAACTGGATCGGGATACCCGAACATCACTAGTGTGTAAAAAAACATCACTAATGTGTAACAAAAACTCCGTTTTCTTTACAAGTCAGAAATTTCCTAAAATTAATAATTCCCGAAAATGTTTGTTTTTTAATAGTTCCTCAAAAACAAATCTGCTTAAGTTCGGAAAACCTAGGGACCGAAAACTAATATAAAAATAATCTAATAATTATTTACAAATGTTGGTTCATTTCCAAACAAAAATTTGTATTTTTTATGTTCTCTTGCTTTAAGCTGTTTAACAATTATTTCCATTTTATGGTCGAAATATAATTTTAATTTCTCCCCATCAATCTTCATGAAATTAGAATTTATTGAATGTGTTAACAAACCAACTCTCCATTTTTCTTTTATTTTTTCCGATTTTAAATAATTTTTTATCTAAAAGTGTAAATTTTGTTTGATATTGTTAAATAAGTACACCCCAAGGTACTGCAAGGCAAGGTACTCGTTTAAGGATCCTGTATGGTTCGATAATATGTATGGTTCTGAATCGAACCCATCTGGACTTCTCGGATTCGATAACTTTGAACAAATTTTGAACTAAGATTATCATGGGACACATAAAAGTTCATGGGACTTATGTCCTAAGATAGAGCCAAAGGATCTTATGGTATTGATCCTGAGTAGGATCTCGATTTCAGCAGAAAGTATATGTCACACCAACGAACCAAAATTTCTGTTTTTTTTATTCGTTTTGGGTTGAAACTGAGAACCATAGTCCTAGAGTTCTACATAGCAAAACATTCCAGTAGTTTACTTTAGCCTGCCCTAAAAGAAAGACAAAGCCGGGAAGATGCTTTTAAAGTTTATCAGTCAATGATACTTAAAAATTACCTCAGCTTCCCAACTTCACTCTGTTGCCCTAAATTCATTCCACATCATTTCATTTATCAATGGAACTATCCAACTTTCAAAAAGAATCAAATCACTTTCATTCAATTCAACCTTTCTTTCCATTCCCCACCAAGCACTCGCTGCCGCCCCACTCGAAGAGGAAGAAGAACCAATACCTTTTTGGTGTTTAAAAGATTTTTTATTTTTTGGATTAAATTCAAAATATTCTTCTTTCATAACACCCTTTGACTTTGCTGACGGTTCTAAGGGTAAATGTCCAGTTTCAGTTATATACAGTTTCAGTTATACCCTATATTTTGATAACATTTCAAGACTTTCTTTCAAATGTATTCGATTTTCATTTTTACTCATTTTAAAATAATCACTCCAAAAATCTGCATTTAACGACATTCGAAAACCGTTTGATTTTTGTCCAAAACATTCTTTAATATTTTCACCAATTTCCTCAATTTCCCCACACTTTCCTTTATTTTCTTTTATTTCAAAATTTTCAAAACCAAATTCAGTTCCAATGGGTTTTACCTCTTGTATTGGATTTTGGGCAAATTTTAATTTTAAAATCGGTTCTTGTACGGCTACATCATTCATCAAAAATGTAAGACCATCACCGCTAACACGGTCCTTCAATAGAATTCTAAAAAATAATTTTTTAATTTTGTTCCTGCTAACGGGCAGGAAACAAACAATTTACTGTTCTTAAATAATTTTTATTTCGATTTTAGAAATTTTTTTGGAATTTTCAATTTAAGAGTTCAGGCATTTAGGCTATTTTTTCTTCGAAACCTCCAACTTTGGACACACCTTTCTAATATAGAATGAGTTAGACCTGTATTGATATAAAAACAGACCTAACTATACAGTCGGAACTTACTCCTCAATAAACGCAATTAAAGATACCAGGGATGGGATGGGTAAGGAAAAAAAGTCGTGTCAGGTTTCGGGTCAAGTATCAAAATTTTCTTTTATTCATGGGACTTTTTTGAAATTTGTTAGGCCACCGAGAGCCCCCAATTTTCATTCCATGGATCCGATGTTATTATATCCATAACATAAAAATGTGTTAATTCATCTATTTTACTTGTAAATTTCCCAAATGCTATCTTCAATTCCTTTGACAGTTTCAAGTTTTCTTTGTTTTACACTTTCTTCGTCTAATTGCAATAGACATGTTGCTTTAGAAAGAAAATTTGAGAAAGTTTTGTTTCTAGCAAGCTTTTTAGCGTGATGAGCAACAGGTGAATTTTGTAATGAACGAGGTGAAAATGGAGAGGAGAAGAATGAAGAAATAGAAGAACTTGGTGAATTTAAAGTAGGTGATGGAGAAGAAATTGAACCCTGAATATGTTTATTTGGTTGAAAGTTTATCAAAATTATTTCTGAGATCTTGAATGATACTTGCTCGGCGCTTCTGCTGAAAACCCTGAGGCTTTTTTGAAAGCCTTTACTAGGGCTTTTGGTAAATTAACTGATAAATAGACATAAAAAGGGAATAAACTGGAATAAACTATATACCAGGGAATGTAATATTAACCAGGCTTTCATGCTTATACAAAAACAGCTTGTCTTATATTATTATCTTGTTAACTTTTATCTTGTTTTTTCAAATTTTATTTTAATTTAAATATTTTTTGTATTTCCACATTTCATTTGTCTATTCATTTGTCTAACTACGCCACTCAATTTTTAACTATTTAAGAAACTCACCGGTAAAGGACTGCTCGAAGCACCCATGCTTTTTGAGGAAGACAAAGTTTCCAAAGAAGATGCATCATTTATAGAAGGGGATGATGAAAACCCTAGAGAAGACCCCCCATCCTTAATTGACTCTCCAACACTCAAACATTCATTTTCTTGTTGTTCACTATTAGGCTTTAATTTTGAAATAATTTCTTTAATTCCTCCAAAATATTCCCCATTATATTGAATAAATGGGACTTCATTTTCTTTGGATCCAAGCATAAATTGGTTGCTAATTCTCTTTAAAACAATTTAATTTTTTGAGAGGATTAAATATTAATTTTTAATTTTACATGAAAAGGAATTTTTTCAAGTCTCAACCAAGCTTCTAAAGCTAAACAAGGAACACAATGATTAGCTACCCTTGTTGTGCGCGGAAACATAAAAAGATAAACAACGTCATCTTTTGCATTTGGCACAAGCAAAGGGGCATTTTCTTTTAACTTTTGTATAACACCTGAATATTTTAATTATTTACATATTTTGGAATGGATTTGTTGTGGATAAGCAAAAGCTTATAATTTAGTTAAACACCCGTTTTTCTGTCTAAAATCTGTCCTCATAAACCAAAATATTTTTCTCTCACATAATACAAATATTGTGAGTTCCGTCAATTTTTAAGGCGTAAATTAACAAAAATTGGAGGTGGATTTTCTGTTCCCCGGTGTGGGCAAAAAGAATTCTCAGACCGATTTTATTATGTAGTATATTTTTTAGTAAAAATTCCCGAAAATTTGTTATCCTTATTATAGAATGTTTAGATTCCCCTCTGTTGTATTTATCCATTGTAAATTTTTGTATTGACTTTTCTCTTTTTAAAAGAGACTAATCTAACAGATTAAAAGATTAAATAATTAAAATAACCTTTTGTATATGGTTGTTGAAGATTTAAAATCAACAAAACAAATAAAAGAAAATTCATTTTAAAACAAAAAAATATTTTTTAATTTTTTTATTTTTGCCTTTTAATTAAAAATAGAGAGTTTTTAAATGAGTAATGAAAGGAAGATAAAAAAAAATAAATACAAAAATAAAAGGGCATAATTGCCAAAAATAAATTATTTCATAAATAATCATGTGAAAAGTGCATGTTAACACAGACAAATTTAAATTACTTTCTCTATTACATAATTACTCTGGGTAATTATTTCTTAATATTTTGGAGAGAGAGGTAACCGAGAATGAAGTTAAGGATTTGCTTTTAATAGAGGGTAATTAAATGAGTGAGGGTAATTTATCGAGAATATAGCAGTCTTAGCTTTGTTTCTGAAATTCGATTTAATCATTTAGTGGGTTTTGGCATTGAAAAAATTAAAGAATAACAAGAAATTTATTTTTGCGTGGGGAAATAATATATATTTATTTATTTTCTGAGATTTAACAAATCGGTTCTATAAAATTATTCACAAAAATCAACACAAAAATGGAATCTACGGAGATTCTCTAAAAGAATAATAGGTAATTGTTAATAGCCATTTTTAACTGCTGTCTGTCAGAAATATTTGCACTTTAAATAAAGAAATTTTTCTCAAATTGAGAAATTAAAATAAATTTAAACATTTAAAAATTCAAAAAAAAATTTTCAAAATATTTCTCTGAGAAAATTTTATTTTTTAAAAAACTTCCCTTTTTGTATTAGCCAAAATAAATTTTGAAATAAAAAAGCACTTTAAAAGGCAAAGCACTTTTTTAGGCGAAAAAATTTTAAAAGAAAAAATTAAAAAGGAAATTATTGAATATTTCACGTGAATATTAAATGTAATTAAATGCACTCACAAATTATTTGCACTTTTAAAAATAAATATAAAATTATAAAAAAAAATATTTTTACGGAATTAACACACAAAGTTCTTCTTAAAACTTAGGGTTAGACAGGCTATTTTGTTTTTAAATTGCTAATTCATTATGTGATGTTTTGATTGTCGAAATTAAATATTTTTCGGTTAGTTTCGTTGGAATTATGAATAGGGCTCAGAATTGGAGTGACAAACACAAATGTAAAAACTTTACGAAACTTAACCTCTTGCCGGGT